TAGAGTTTTGATGTTTTCTCACAGTGTAGGAGGCTAGAAATCCAAATTTAGGGTGCTGGTGCTAGGGGAAGACTTTCTGTTTATGTCCGTTTTGGAGAAAGGTCCCTGTCTTTTCTGAACTTCTGCTCCTGGATGATGTTCACATGAGTTGGCATCTCCCTTCCCCTACCTCTTCTCTTCTCTCTTTTATATCTCAAATGATATGGACTCCAAGTACACTCTAATCCTGCCTCCTTAACGTCACAAAGAAAACTCATTCTTCAATGAGAAGATAACTTCATGCATAGAGGTTAGAATTTAGAACACATATATTTTGGTGACATAGTTTAATCCATAATAGTTTACACACTGTGTTTTAGTAGGCCCTTGAATTCTGTTCAGCACTTAAGTAGCTCAACCTTCAAAACACTAGGGGCAAAAGAGATGAACACAGGTTTTACCATAAGCCTTGTTTTCTTAAAAAATGTTCCCATCTGCACAATACCACTGAATATTTGAATATTAATATGCTATGGTATTGACTGAGAGAGAGACTGAAGAAGAATGACTCATTTGAATTATGATGCTGGTGAAGAATATCGGAAGTACCATGGTCTGCCAAAAGAACAAACAAGTCTGTCTTGGATGAAAAACAGGTGGACTGCTCTTGAGCAGCGAAGATGACGAGACTTTACTTCGTCTCACATACTTTGGGCATGTTATAAGGAGAGAGCAGTCCCTGGAGAAGGACTTCATGCTTGGTTAACTGGAGGGGCAGTGGAGAGGAGGAAGGCCTTCGACAAGATGGATGGACACAGTGGCTGCACCACTGGGCTCAAACAGAAGAACAATTGTGAGGACCAGACAGTGTTTCCATCTGTTGTACATAGGGTTGCTCTGAGTTGGAATGATATCGATGACATCTAACAACAACAACAACATGGTATGATGCGTCAGAATTGACTCGATGACAGTGAGTTTGATTTTGGTTTGGTGGTTGGAGTTTGCAAGCTCTTAACCAAGGAAGGGTACTGAGAAAGAGAAAAGCAACCCTGGCATCTGAGAGCTTGCCTAGCTGCCCTGATGCCCACGGTCAACCTGTGGTACCCTCCTTTCAAACATTTAATTCATAGAACGCCACCAGACAAGGTTACTCGGTGACCACGATGAATCAAGACCTGAACAGACCATTCACTATTGTGGTCTTAACACACGAACAAAAACATAACTGTTTTCCAAGCCACAAACTCTTATGCAGGCTAACTTGAGTAAGTGCTTCTTCACTGATTTCAAATTTAAAACTAAAAACCCACTGGTGCTATAGAGACTCTATAGAACAGAATAGAATTGCTTTCTATTATTTCCAAACATGAAAATCTTTACAAAATAGACTATCTCTTCTTCTTCTCATGGATTGGCTAGTGGGTTTGAACCATCAACCTTTTAATCAGCAACCTAGTGTGCCACAAACCAGGGAGCCCTGGTGGCATGGTAGTTACACGTTGGCCTGGGAACTGGAAGGCGAGCAGTTTGAAACCATCTGCCACTCAACAGGTGAAAAGTCTGGGTTTTCTACTCATGTAAACAGTTAGTCTCAGAAACTCACAGGGGGCAGTTCGAATTTGCTCTACCACTATGTGTCAGCATCCCCCGGAGGGCAGTGAGTTTGGTTAGTCATGCTTTATTTTTCCTTACCTTTTAGATTAAACATTTTAAATTACCTAGTCATGGGAATACTACTGATTCTCTCAGCATTCAATCCAGAGCAGAACCCTGTACTCTGCTCTGTTTTTTTCTTTTAAAAAAGTTTTTTATTGTGAACTGAATTAAGTTTCACAGAGCAAAGAAAAGTGCTGGGTGCATAGTGTTGCTAACTGCAAGGTCAGCAGATGAAACCAACCAGCTCTTCCACAGCAGAAGTTTTCTACTCCCCCAAAGAATTACAGTCTTGCAAATTCAGTGCTATGTTGTCTGATAGGGTCGCTAAGAAACAGAATGGATTTGATGGCAGTGATTTTTTTTACAGAGCAAATCAGTTTACTGCTTCATATTATCTTATTATATGCCATTGGCTGAAATCCTCACAATGTAACATATCTTTCTTGTCTTTGTTTACTGATTTCAATCCTCCTTGTTTTACTAACTTTCCTGTCTTCTGAGCTCTGTCCTTGCAGAAATGATGCCCTATTCATCTCAAATAGTGGGTGATTCTAAGTATTTGTTATCTCCCTAGAGGTAATGTTTGATGGAAAGCTGAGTCACAGGGTAAGTTCAGTTCCATGTCTGAAGAGTTAACTACAGGGGTAAAGCCCTACATTCTTGAACTCTTCACCAAACGATGTACCACAAGTAGAAATCCTGTGCTTTCATGGTATCCGCAGTCCTACTTAGCAACAAGGCAATAAACCCGACTTTGTGTCATGATGGTGGTCTTGTTGGAGAACATGAAAACAAAAAGTATGAAAGTCATTCTACATTTCCCCTTTTGTGCTTCTGCTTTAAAAAATGTTTTATTCCCTATAATTTTAATACTCTATCCTATCTCCCTAATTCATCTGCTCCTACATTGATCTTCTATTTTTCATTTCTAAATTTGTCTAAGCAATTGCCTGTTAACTTTTTACCAGTGCTTCCTCAGTGCATTCTGCACCCTGCTGCCAAACTGTGAGGGTTCCTCTGCTAAAACTGTCAAGGCTACTATCTCTCGTGCATACATATTTCAATGATTTCGTTTGCAACTGAAAGTTCTTTGTAAATAAAAGCTCGTTATGGTGGTTGATGACCCAAATATTAGGACTAAGAGGGAAAATTGACTTATTTTGATGTATAAGGGTGGTGGTGGGGAAACCACCAGTCTTAACATAAAAGTGGCTAGAGAGTTTTGTAATGTTTTATTCCCTCCTGACACAAATGACAAATGATTGCAATCACTACATACTCTCATGGGCATAACAGGTTACGCAACATTCCAGTAGTTCTAAGAATAAGTTTAACCTTTTCCCACATAAGAAATATGAAAGAATGAGTGAAGTTTTAATAAGAATAACCATGAAGCTAATCTAATTTAAAATAAACATGATCTGCAGTTGTTGGTATTTTAAATACTATAATTATATAATTATAACTAAACAACAATTTACTAATGGCAGATCTCATTATATTGAGTTTAAAAATGATCAACCTCAAACATAATGACATGGATCAACATTTCTGTATGAAATTAAATGAAATTTCATTTGTGGGAATATACCATATATACTCGAGTATAAGCTGAGGCACCTAATTTTACCACAAAAAACGGGGGGCTTTTTCAGCATAAAAATGTGCTGGGGAAAAAAAAGCTCAGCTTATACTCGAGTATATACGGTATTTGACTTTCCTATAATTAAACCACAATTTCCTCATTCTCATTCATCCATTTATTAATTCAATAGTTAGTAAGAGTCTACCTACTATATGCTAAATAATGTGCTAGGATATGAAGATAAAAGGGAACATTCCTTTAGTTTTGTAGAAGGAGGCAAGGAAGTAAATTGATAATGCCTATCAAGTAATGGTGGCCAAGCATTAGCTGCTCTGGTCAAAGTAGAATAGACAAAGTAGAAATGACAGTGGGTATGTAGAGTAGAGGAGTTTACTCTTCAGAGTATGTGGTTTGGAGTGAGGAATGGGAAACTATCCTCTGGGTGAGAATATGTGTACAAATTCACAGTTGCAAAATGGCTATAGCATATAGAAGTGCACTTCTTATGTCTCTATCTACATCTCTCTATTGCATATAACACATTGATTTCTTTGAAATTCAACTAGGAATGTGGCTATGTCAATCACACACACAAAAATAAAATTATTTTCCCCCTTCTGCTTAAGTAAAAGGAATAAGAAAAATATGCAATCCAAGGGCAGTTTGGTTTCTGGCACACAGACCACAGGCTGTTTAATTGATTCAATCTCCCCTACACAACAAGGACATTCATTGAATCATCTAGGTGCCAACAAAAATTGGGTAGTCAGAAAGTGTTCTAATTAGGACACTTTGTTTTTACCTTTTCCATTGGCTTTTCAGAATAGGCCCATTGTAGCCCTTTGAGAATGGGGGCGAGGGAAAAGGGCCAACAAGGAAAAAGTCATTTACAGAATGGAGCATATCTAACTTTTATGCTAGTTTGTTAATCTGCTCAATGCTCTCACTTTATTCTTATGTAATCCTTATTACGTCTCTGAAGTTAATACTATCCATACGCTAACCTCATTTTATCCATTAAACTAATTGATGTTGCTATGAAAACGTAGGTAACTTGACCAGGTGCCTGTAATTGAGCTCTTTTATTTTGCAAGCACACCAAAAGAAAATACTCCTTTAAAGGACTTTATACAGACCACTGGCATTTAAAGGCTTCTTAATAGGTCTGCGTCCGATCGAGACAGGGACGTAATCCATGGCCATCCTCTACTCTCCCCAAAGGACTGAGTGCCTCAAGGTAGGTTGGGTCAAGCGCTCCAGGGAGTAGGACAACGACCCGGCCCCTCAGGTGCGCGTGCACCTGTCGCCTGTCGAGTGCGCGCTGCGGGAATGGATTACGTGCTCCTCGCGCGCGCGCGTGCACCCGACGATGTTCCCTGAACGTGCGCCGTACGTGGGCACGGTGTCCAGCGCACCGCGTTTCGTGCCGGGAGTCAGCGCTGGGCCGAGCGGGAGTCTGGGAGGGGCGTTTTCCTGGGCGGCAGCGGCTCCCCCTGGCGGCGGCCGTCCCTCGCTGGAGGCGTGCAGTCAGGCGTTCTCCGAGGGCAGCCGGCGGCGGGGCCTTGCCTTCTAGCGCGGGGTCCTCGGCGGCCTGGCTGGCTGCTCCTGCTGCTGTCGTAGGCGGGGACGGCAGTTCGTGCTGCTGCTGTTGGTTCGCGGCGGCGGCGGCGGCTGAGGAGGAGGAGGAGGCGGAGGAGAGCGAGGCGGCGGAGGAAGGCGGCGGCAGGCGCGGCGGCGGCGGCGGCGCCCGGGGCCGGCGGCGGCGAGGGGGGGGAAGATGGCGGACGTGCTCAGTGTCCTGCGACAGTACAACATCCAGAAGAAGGAGATTGTGGTGAAGGGAGACGAAGTAATCTTCGGGGAGTTCTCCTGGCCCAAGAATGTCAAGACCAACTATGTTGTTTGGGGGTGAGTCCGGTATGGCTGTGGCCCGGGGTGGTGAGGAAGAGTGGGGAGCCCCCACCCAGGTGACTGACCTCTCGGAAACCCTCCCCCCGTCTCCCCTGGGGATGGAGGACAAAACCAGGGTGCTCCAGGAAAAGTTTCTTTCCTAGGCAGAAGTTCACTTTTGGGGTGCTGCGTCTGTAGTGTTCCATCTCTTTAAAATGTGGGAAGCTAAGGAGAAAGGTACCATGGGAATTTCCTACTTTTCCCTTTCATTTATTATCTTATGTGTCGGGTGCCAGCAATGTATAGGGCTGGTGCACAGATATAGCTAAACATAGGTAGGTGCACAAAGGCCGACTCTTTTTGGTGTTGTTTTTTCTTTTCTTGAAGGCTGCCATGTGTTGTAATTGCCTTTTCTCTCCCTGCAGCGCCAGGTTCATTTATTTGTGCTGGAGAGAGACAAGAGGGACGGGAACTAACTATGAAGTTAGAACAGAGAACACATTAGATCGATGCATTTTAAAGTCGTCAGATCTGTATGAGACGTGGAGGCAGGAACTTAGTTGGGGAGAAAGTTAATGGTAGAATGAATGGTGTGAGCCTTTGCAGGTCAAAGTAAGAAATTGTCCATTATTGTCTTATTGGGAAATTGTCTTATTGGGATGTGTGAGTTAAAGAAAAATGACTTGGCAATGTTGGCACATGGGAGTTTCCTGAATTTAAATTACTCAGTAAAACATCCAGAGACAGGTCTCATTAGGGACTGTTTTAGTGGTGCCTAAGTGATGTCACTTTCTTGGGTGTTTTATTTGAATATTGGAACCTCAGACCAAGACTACTATAGTAGTTTTTTGGTTGCCTGCAAGGCGTAGTGAACTTTATGGAGAATTGACAAAAAGCTATGGGAAATTTAGTTTTTTGTTTGTTGGTTCTTTAAAAAAAAGTTTTGCCTTAAAGGCATATGATTTGATTAACTTTATGGAATATGAATGAAATGAACTCATTTTGAGTTTCCTGTGGGTATTACTATTTTTTAATCGTTTCAAACAAATTTGCACAGACAGGATTGCATTTGGTTACATTTTTTGGGGGGGGGTTGCATATTTTTGTGTGTGTGCTTGTTTTTAAAAAGTGGTGAAGGAGTACTAAATGCAATTCAGTAATCAGTGTGAGGAGAAAAATTCTTAAGACCAAGGTCTCTGCTCAAAGAAATGGTACTTAATCTGAAGAAGAGTGAACATATAAAGTGATGTGAAGTGCTTCCTCTGTCATAAGAAGAGTGTAATCACTTCCGGCTGTGTGGTATTAAGAAATGCTTCATAACTGTGTGTTTCATATATTGGCTACTAATCAACTTTTCCTGAATAAATCTATGAATGAATAGATAAGCGATGCAGAATGGGTAGGAATTCTGTGAGCGAAATTGTAAGTTAGGTCTTCCCAAATGGTAGAACCCATGTCGATAAGGCATGACAGCTAGAAAGTAAATGCTTTGACAAGTGACAGAGCAGTGAAATCACTAAAAAAGGAATTCTTAGAACAGTAGTTTTCAAACCTTCAAAACAGTAAATCAAACCAAGAAATATCTTTTCATTTATTATATGCATATATATTTGTGTGCATTTATTTTTGTCTATCAATATATATACACTGTTAAAAACAGTGCAGTTATTGCGTGTAGTGCATTTTTTCTGCTCTATAGCACTAATAAGAAAACTGGGCAGAGTCCCATATATTTGATTTCTTAGTATAGATGTGTGGTTTTGAAGTACATTGATTTAAAGGAAAAATGGGACTATAAGGATGCTTCAGAAGCTTGTGAACAAATTAAAATGATAATGGAATTTTCCCCAAAACTCTTTGAAGCCCCTTGTAGATGCTAGAAGCCTTATATGACTGATGAAGTAGATTCAGAGCTAATTGTAGTGGGCTGCATTCAAACACATTGAATGAAAGAAAAAAGTAGTATTATGATCAGACATTAACAGTTGTTTAGCATATAGTTAGTACTTGTATTAGATACATTGCCTTCTAGAGTACATTGTTGTATCTCAGGTGCAGTTTGCATTTTGACTGTATGTCATTGGTCTAATTTGAGAGGCATTGTAAGAATTGTGTCTCTGAAATACATTGCTGTGCTTATTGTGTTGAAGGAATTGCTCAGCAGTATTTTTCTGAGCAGGAGCCATAGTATAAATTTCTCTTAAGGTTTAGTACCAATAATTTAGTACTATCTACTATTGACAAAGTTCTGAACCTAATTTAGACCTAATTTTAAAAAGTTTTTATACTGTCTTAAGAATGTAAATTTTGTATCCTTTCCTTGCTTCTTGCTTTGTCTCACATCTCCTTTGTATTTCTTTTGTCCTAATGACTTACTAGTTAGTTCTATACTGCAGTGTATTTTGCTTGTTTATTTTAAATCCATTGTTGTACAAATGGATTTTAAAATGGGCAGACATAAATGAATCCATTAAGTCCAAAGAGTTGAATTGGAATTGTTAGTAAAAATCTTGCCTTTATTGTTTCAGGACTGGAAAGGAAGGCCAACCCAGAGAGTATTATACATTGGACTCTATCTTATTTCTTCTTAACAATGTGCACCTTTCTCACCCTGTTTATGTTCGACGGGCAGCCGTAAGTAGAATTCAATATAAAATTACTTTTTATAATTAATATTAGATATAATTTGACATAAGGAGCCCTGGTGGCAATGTTGGATAAACATTAGACTTCTCACTGCAAGGTCATCGGTTCAAACCTACCATCTCACCCACGTGAGAAAGATCGGTTATCCGTTCCAGCAAAGATTTACAGCCTTGGAAGCCCTATATAAGGTCACTGAGTCTGAGTCAACATAGTAGCAGTGGTTTTTTTGGTGTGTGTGTCACTTGTCATGGATAACTTTCCTGATGGGCTTCACATCAAAAAAATAAAAAATCTGTTTGTATGAAGACTTCTTGGAGGCTCAGAATAGGGTCACTGTGATGTGTATATATTTTATAATCTGTAATTCTTTTTCATGTAAACATTTATAACAATAGATGTTTTAAAATGACATATAGGGTTTATTTAAAAATGTACATATCTGTGAAAAGACAGAAAATTGGAACTCCAATTTCAAAGAGAAAAAATTTTTTTTGACATAAGAATTAGGAAACACATGTTTTAAAGTTAATTTTAATTAATTTGATAAAACATTCTTAATACTTTAATAAACTTATTTGTATTTAGTTTTGCCTGGTTGGTACATCTCACTATTTGAAAATTTATTATCAGAAGACCCTTTGGAAACACTTGATTTCACAAATAATATCATGATGAGAGTCTTAACCTTTAGTAAAGTAGTATGATATAACATGTAAGACTTTATAGAGTTATTTGGGTAAAATACCTATGAGACATTGCAAGTTGCATATAACAATATATATCTTAATAAAATATTCCCTCCATAGTTAGCTTTCCAAATGAGATCTCCCCCCAAATGTCAAAATTTCTTGAATGTAAATGTTTTTTAGCAAAATAAATTAAATAACTAAGCGTCTGCTGTAGTATTTAAAATTTTCAACTTAAAATTATCCGCAAGGGGACTTCAAAAAGTATGAAAATGGAATTGAAAGATAATGGAATTGTCCCAATACGTTTTAGTTTTTAAACAATAGCAAATGTTTTACAAACATCAATATTAATGTGTCTGTTATCACTGGAGCCACTATTTGAGTTATCTAACATTGACCAGAAGACATTAAGATGAAATTGACTTTTGTAATCTTCCTTCCTTCCTAATAGTCGTGTTGAGGTTGTTTCTGGCTGATTTGAGGTTGTTTAAAGTGATTGGGAAAGTCTCCTATCCTCTAACAAACTTTTTGTAAGAATCACACTGTAAGATTGTTGCTTTCTGAGGAAGAACTATATCACTGTCATAGAGTTGATTCTGGCTCATATTGACTGTCCAACAGGATAGAACTGCCTGTAGGCTTCTGAGACTGTAATTCTTTATGGGAGTAGAAAGCAATGTCTTTATCTCATGGAACGGGGTGGCGAGTTTGAACTGCTGACCATTGTTAGAAGCCCAATGCGGAACCACTGTGCCACCAAAACTAACTAACAACAATACAAGTAAAACTTTAATAGAAAAAGAAAATATTAAAACTAAACAAATTTAAAATGGGTTAAAAAGGATATAAGGTGTTAACTTCTAACCGTATCTGTGATAATCTACTTTCCAATACACTCTGCATGAAGCAAGCCCTCAACTATGATCAAGGGCGCCTTATTCCATGTGTGGACCCTGCAAAAAGGAAATTGGGCTTCCACTGTCATCCATAGCCTTATGCAAACCAGGTTTTCACAATTTAAGCCCTGATAACATTCCTTCCTTCATATTTGGGTATTGTTATTTACAATCTTTGGGTCACACAGTCTGGTGTGCTCCTTCCATGTGGACTTAGATTGCTGCTTGTTTTGAGACAAGCCTTTAAGACCCCCAGACAGTATTCTTCTGAAAGCCAGGCAGCATCCAGTTTCTTCACCACACTTTGCTCTAGCACCTATGTGTTCAGTGATCTCTTCATGAGGGTGAGCATCAAGAATGATCATGTCATAAGAACTAATTGTTCTTAGATTGGGCTAGAATTCAGTGTGAGCCCACAATCCATTCATATATATGTGGTTTGAATATGCTTCTGATGCTACCAGATTTAGAAACAGTAATTTTAATAAAATTAATTCAAATCTTAAATGTTTATTATTTGTAGGCAAGAATTAAACTTTAGGGGAGGGAGGGGAAAAATGAGGACCTAATGTCGGGGGTTTCAATGGAGGGAAAATGTTTTGAGAAACGATGTACAAATGCGCTTTACACAATTGATGTGTGTATGGATTGGGATAACAGTTGTATGAGCCCCTAATAAAATGTTTAAAAAAAAAAAAAAAGAATTAAACTTTAACCTAAATTCTTTTTGTTTCTTTTTTTGAAGATGGAGAATATAGATTATTTTCTCTCTCTTTTCTTTTAAATTAAATACTTTTACTGGGGACTCATATCTCATCACAATCCATACATTCATCCATTGTGTCAAGCACATTTGCACATGTGCTGCCATCATCATTTTCAAAGCATTCTCTTCCCACTTGAACTTCTGATAGCAACTCCCCATTTCTTCACCTCCTCCCCTGCCCACCCTCCCTCATGAACCCTTGAGAAGTTATAGATTATTACTTTCATATCTTACATTGTCCTCCGTTGCCCCTCACCCACTTTTCTGTTGTTCGTCCCCCTGAGAGGGGAGTATAGGTTGACCCTTGTGATCTATTCTCCCTTTCTCCCACATCCTCTCCTAATCCTCCTGGTATATGTACTCTCCTTGTTGGCCCTGAGGGGTTTATTTATCCTGGATTTCCTGGGTTGTGGGCTCTGATCTGTAGCAGTGTGCATGTTCTGGTCTAATCCGATTTGTAAGGGAGAATTGAGGTCATGATAGGGGGGAGAAGGAAGCACCAAAAAACTAGAGGAAAGTTGTGTGTTTCATTGGTGCTGTACTGCACCCTGAGTGGCTCATTTCTTCCCTGTGACCCCTCTGTAGGGGGATGTCCAATTATCTACAAATGGGCATTGGGTCTCCACTCCATCCCTGTCCCCCCTGCCCCCCCATTCACATTGGGTATGATTTTGTTCTGGGTTTTAGATGCCTGATAACTGATCCCTTCGGCTCCTCATGATCACACAGGCTAGTGTGCTTCTTCCATGTGGGTTTTGTTGCTTCTCATAGATTCTTTTTTTCTTTTTAACAGAACTCTCATAGATTATTCTTTAAGTGATTAATGCTATTTCATACTTATCAGGGAATATATACAGTAATATGTACAGACTATTCAGCATTAGTTTTGAAGTTAACAAAGTGATTTTAAGTTTATGAATCTGCTACCATGCTGTTGTTTGCTTACATTAGAAAAATTAAATTCAAAGTTATGGATTCATTGAATTCATGGTCCAAAGATGAATTAGTGCTTAAAGTGCATGGTTTTGTGATATTCACCTCTTAAAAATTGTAAATATAAGAGGTTGAAAAAAATTGCCCGTTTTACAAAAATATGTTTGTATATTGTTTTTCCCATCTGCTTACAGACATCCTAGACATTTACCCATGACATTTTCCTGCGTAATCGTCCAAACTTTTTCTCATCTCAGAACAGCAAAAATCGTTAATTATCAGAATTTAATTAAGGCGCTATATTAGCTTATTTGAAAGCATTAAAAAGACAATTGATTAAGGTGTAGTTTTTGTAGAAGAGAAGAAAATACATAGTAATGCCATAAGATATGAGAGAGCAATGGGACTAAAAAGTTATTTGTTGTAAATGTGCAAAGTATCAGGAACACGATTAAAAAATAAACACAATTGATATTTTAAAGAAGTAATAATTGCTTTTCTAATAATTGAATTTTGTATATTCTGTTGGAATTAAAAGTAAAATTATCAAAAATGGATTAAAACTTTTCCAAGATTTCTATTTGGTTCTTTTGGCTTAGTCATTTTCCACAAGGAGTTTTATAAATATATGTTATCAAGAAATATTGGAATGATCGCTTCCCGTTTGGCTAAGATCAAGTGAAGAAATATTGGAATGAAATTCAGACATTATATTGGGGGCTTCAAAAGCTCATGGAAAAATGGTGTTAAAAGTTAATAGGATTAAAAAAAAAGTGTATAGGATTTTTCCAATAACTTGAATCCCCTTCATCTGATGTTTATCTTCACTAGGTTTCATTTAGTTGTTATGGATTTCATATCTAACATAAAATTTTTGCTTCAGACTGAAAACATTCCTGTGGTTCGAAGACCTGACCGGAAAGATCTACTGGGATATCTCAATGGTGAAGCATGTGAGTAATTTTAAAGTTCCTATCACTGCTTTTTTTTAAGTTTTATTGGCATATGATTTACAAGTCATACAACTCAATAGTTGAGTCATATTAAAAAAAAGTTGTACAGTCATCACCACAGTCAATTTTAGAGCATTGTCTTCATTCTTGTACTCATCATTATGAACTCCCCAGTGACCGCCCACCTCCTCTGCCATCATGGTGCCTCCAAGGAACCATTACTCCTATTACTGTCTCTCTACCTTGAACTTCATATACAGAAAACATTTAGACAACAGAAACATGAAAAAAGCAACTAGAGATGGGGCTTTCTACTCCTGGTCACAATTACAATCTTGGGAACTCCCTGGGGCAGTTCTACCAAATCCTATGGTGTCGCTATTAGTTGGCGTCCACTTGATGGTAGTGGGTTGAGTAACAAGAATAAAATAGTAAAACAGATTTAAAAACTTCAATAGAAAACAGGACCAGTGTTGTGAGTGGCGATTCTGGGAGGGTAGAGGGAGAGTGGGTATGAAAGAGGGACCTGATTACAAGGGACTATATGTGACCTCCTCCCTGGGGGACGGACAACAGAAAAGAGGGTGAAGGGAGACGTCGAACAGGGCAAGATATGACAAAATAACAATTTCTAGATTATCAAGGGCTCGTGAGGGAGGGGGAAGCGGGGAGGGAGGGGAAAAATGAGGACCTAATGCCCGGGGCTTAAGTGGAGAGGAAATGTTTTGAGAATGATCAGGGCATTGAATATACAAATGCGCTTTACACAATTGATGTATGTATGGATTGTGGTAAGAGTTGTATGAGCCCCTAATAAAATGATTAAAACACCCAACAAAACAGAGTGCAACTATAAAAAAAAAAGTAACAGGAAAAAAAAAAAAAGAAAACATTAACAACTAGAACAAATTAAAAATGGGTTAAAAGGGAGATCAAATGAAAAGGTGTTAAATTTTATCATAACTGCATCTATAGTAGTCTACTTTCCAAAGCATCTGTATGATAAGGCTGTTTACATCCTTGGTCTGTGGTCAGAGGGGATTAACCAGAGGCTTCATCCACATATTTCTCCTTCACCTTTTTGTTGGTTTTATGTGTTAGGCTGCGTTGACTAGAGAAACAAATACAAAGACATATATATGTGATAGAGCTTTATATCAAGAAATAATTATGTATCAATAAAACAGCCCAGCTCAGCCCAACTCAGCACTAGTCCTTTGGTTCCTCTTCAGACTTACAAAGCCACATGCAAGGATGCAGAATGCAGGAATATCACAAGCTGGTGGGTGCAAAGTCTGGTAGATCCATCTCCAGAGCTCGTACATGTCATGGTTTGTCAACTGGAAGGTAAAGGCAGAGAGATAGGGGGAGGTTTCCAGGGCCCTCCTTATGAGAAGGTCATGCCCATAAGGAGGTACCATCAGGCTATGATCTGATTGGCAGACTAGACTCCACCCCTACACTTTTATATCTTCAAGTTGATATGAAATTATGTAACTACCACATTTTGTTTTATACTGAAACAACTTTTAAGTGTATCAAAAGGGAGATCAAATGATAAGATACTTAAAAAAAAATGATGATAACTGCATTTTAACCTCACTACATCTGCCATAATCAACTTTACAGTGCTCTCTGTCTGATAACAAGGCTATTCATATCCCTTGACTATGGTCAGAGGGAATTCATTTGAGGCTTAATCCATGTGTGGACCCTGCAAATGGGTTTTGGGCTTCTTCTAGCATCCATAGCTTTCTTCAAACCAGGTGTTTATAATTTAATCTCTTAGAACATTCCCTCCTTTGGATTTGGGTTTTCTTATTTACAATCCTTGGATCATACAGTCAGGTGTGCTTCTTCCATGTGACCCTTACTTGATGCCTCACTTAGATGACTACATATTTTATGAACCCAGATGATATTTTTCCGTTAGCCGGTCACCATATAGTTTCTTCACCACACTTTGCTAAAGCACCCATATCTTTAGTGATCTCTTTATGAGGGCGAGCATCAAGCAGCTCCATAGCTTAAGAACTAAATTGTTCTTAGATTTGGGCTAGAATTAAGTCAGAGTCCACAATCCATTCATATATCTATGGTTTATATATTTCTGGTTCACCTTAGAGACATCGTTGTCATTTTATGTTAGAGAATATTTTTAGTCATCAATCATAAGATAGTTCTATCGGCAGTGTCATTAATTTAGATAATGGTATAGAAAAGGAAATTAAATGAGTATAGGTCAGCTGTGAATCCTGTCGCTGTTAAGTAGGCATTGTAAAAGCATTGGGAAGATAATTTTTATCTCCTAAAAAATAAACTCATCAATCTGGTTGTGTTCTTATGCTTTTCTTTCCTGTTACAGTGTAACACTGTACCTAAATCTAGCCATAATTTGTATGAGGGTTACATCTCTTCCCCTACAAAAATACTTTATTCCTGTACATTACTGTTTCTTACATCATCACTTTTTTCTTATATCACAGAATACAGATATGTACAATAAAGAGAAAATATTTTTTGACTCCAAATTCTTACTATCCATTTCCTCATATTGCTTTTCTCCTTTATTGTAAATTCTTTGTAATTTCTTGTCGCAGTTTTTTCTTGGATTGGATCTGACTTTCATACCATCTTTCTGAAACCACTCTTGTAAGTCAACTGAAATAAGGGTATAAATCCTTTGTTCTCTTGTTAGGAGGTTGAGTTCTCAGCAGCATCTGATACATGTCCAAAAGCTTTTCTTCACCAGGCATTTGGGGTACTAGACTCTTGGTTTCATTTGTATACACTGTCTAATTTTTATTTTTCAACATTCTTCTCCCCGACTTCTAATTCTTTAATTTCCCTAGCACTAGATTTTAATGCTTACTCTTTAGGTAAGTTGCTCTAGTTACATTCTTTAAATATCCTCCATATACTGACAAATTCCAATTTTTTCTAGTTGTATAAATTTACTGCCAACTTAGCATCTTTTCGTAGCTAATAGATGTCTGAGATTTGACATGTCTGCAATAGAATATATGATTCTCTTCTGTTTTTCTCCAAAACAAAAGTCAACCCCCCACCTCCAAATCTTTTCTTCCTTCGCACTCCAGTCATGCAGTTGGTTGTGGGCAAAAACATGGAGAAATAATAGATATCTCTTATTTTGCACATACTTTCCAACTGCAAGTCCTTTTCTCTCCCTTTCAAGGTATATATATTTTTTTAATTAAAAATTTTTTTTTTTATATTTTCAAGGTATGTTTTAAAGGTTAAATATAACCCACAAATCTTGCTTCGGAGACTTTTTCCATGGATGTTATTAAAAGTGTATGAAATAATGTATACAAAGTCAATAATTTCAGCATTGTTTGTTTTGGCAAAACTTCGAATTAGTGTGCCAATCAGTAGATTTAATTCATATAACAAAATACTTTGTAATAGTAAAAAGAGAGTTAGGAAAATGCTCTATTTAGATGCAGAGTAGTGTCTGTAGTACGCTACCTTTGAGTAAAAAGAGGGAAAATCACAATACGTGTTTTATATTGAGAAAGAAATTCTAGAAGGATATCTAAGAGACTTAACAGTGATTTTGGAGGGCAGTGGGAAGTAGGGTATATGGGGACACATCTATGTACCTTTTTCAGAGTTTGATGATTTTGAGCTATTCAAAAGTTAAAAGATTCAATTAAAAAGTAATTTAAAATTTTTTACCAATTGTGAATAAAATGTAGTATGTTTAAAATGAATGCTGACTTAAAATAACTTTCCATCATCTTTATATATTTATGTAGATGTGTTGAAAAGAGCCTGGGCAGAGTAGTGGTTAAGCATTGAGCTGCTAATTGCAAGGTCCACAATTCAGATCATCAGCTTCTTTCTGTGGGAGAACACTCCCTTAAAGAGTTAGAGCCTCCGAAAACCACAGGGGGCAGTTCTACTCTGTTCTATAGGGTTGTCAATTGGAATTGACTTGATGGTAGTGAATTTGGTTTTGGGATACATGTGTATGCATATGTGTGTGTATGTTTAGATGTTCTTTTTATATGTATGTTTTGTGATTCTGGAGTGATTAAAGTGACTGGTTAGTTCATCTCAACAGTTTGCAAGCTAAATTGTTAAAAACAATTTCTCTTTATATAATCATTCTAATATAGTCTTATAATAAAATTATTTTTTATAAAACTGCTTTAAACCATATATTTTAGTTATGGAAATTATTATAGAAAGTTAGAAATGTATGAGGGAGGGGGCAGCAGGGAGGAAGAGGAAAAAATGAAGAGCTGATACCAAGGACTCACTTGAGAAAGCAAATGTTTTGAGAATGATGATGGCAACAAATGTACAAATGTGCTCGACACAAGGATGGCAGTGAGATTCATTTATAGGGTTGCTAGGAGTCGGCACCAACTTGATGGCAGTGAGTTTTGGTATTTACTTTTAGATAAGAGTTGTACGAACCCCCAATAAAATGTTTTTAAAAAAAGAAGGAAAAAAAAAAAAGAAAGTTAGAAATGTGACAAACCTTGAAACATTTTACTCAGTATGTAATATTTGTTTATATAATGATCTCACTTGCGTTTCTTCTTCAATCTTTAGCAACATCAGCAAGTATTGACAGAAGTGCCCCCCTAGAAATAGGTCTACAACGATCTACTCAAGGTATGTCTTGCCACATGTTTTTATAGAACTTTGAAAAACCCAGGCCAAAGCTGTCTTTTAACTTACTTATTTTTCTTACAGTTAAACGAGCTGCAGATGAAGTTTTAGCAGAAGCAAAGAAACCACGAATTGAGGTAAATAATTTATTTTATTGAATGAAGGTATACAAAGCAGATCACTTTTCCATTCAAAAGTTAATGGGCATTTTGTTCATCACATTGATTGTAATCTTCACAATGAATCATCACTTTTCCCACTTCCTTCTTGTGTTTCATGTTTCTGTTCTTTCTTCTTTCTTAAAAAGGTGATTTATATTGTTACTGCAATTGATATTCTATAGAACTGTGCTTATACTCCTAGGAGCTCTTTTGTCTGGTGAAAAATTACTGTAAAAAGAACAGTTGATAATAAGTAGCTTGAGTTATAGTTTTGGCTCTCATATATAAGATGTATACTGGAAAAATCACTTCATTTTCTTTGCCATTTATATTGATGAACGTATGAGGGGGCTTCGAAAAGTGGGTGAAAAAATTGTTATCTTGTTAAGTTTTTCAACAAAGTTTCGGAAACCGTCTTGTATTAGACTATATTAGAGGTTAGAGAACTTTTAGAATGGATGAGATAGTAAATGTTTCAGACTTAGTTGGCATTTTGGTCTTTGTTATAACTACCCCGTACTTTTGTGGGTAGTAGCTGTGGCTATGTCCCAATCAAACTTGGCACACATAGTGGGTCAGATGTGCTCTTTGTGCTGCCGTCTGTCGACCCCTGGAACAAGATGGTATGGGGATTTGTCATACTCTTAGAGCTATACACACCAAATGCATATAGTTATTACAGTACTGCTATCAAGGGGAATATCTGTTCATAATGATGGTTCATGTGAAATAGAAGCAACCTAAATGCAGTTAAATTTGAGTAAGAAAATTTATTGGTCATTTAATATACTCTATGAGGAGTTTTAATCGCATAATTTGACATACACCTAAGGCACACTTAAAATCTGAGAAACAATTGAACAGGTCTAATACCAATTTAAAAACAAAACAAAACACATGTAGTCACTAATACTAATATTGCTGATAGCATAAATCCTTTCTTTTTAGAGATATGTAAAACTCTATATTTTTCGTTTGCTCTATAAATAGTATTCAGAATTAAAGATTAACTGTTGAGAGACATCATTGGTTGGTAAAGACAAAATCAGTGACAGAAATTTATGTTAAAATAATTTATATTTGATTAAGCATACTCAGAGACGTGAACTTGATAGTTTTGGGGTACTGATAACAATTTGATTTAATTTTGCTGTGGTGTAGGTGATACTCTAAACACTCCTACTCCTTGCTACAACTTCTTGAAGTTGGTAGTACATTACTTTTCATCTCATCTATGAGAATGCATAGGATCAGAGAGAGGGTAAGTGACTTGTTGAGATTCACATAGCAGGATTAGAACTCAGATAGTTTGACTCCTATCCATTTTTTTGCGATGGGTACAGATTTTGTAGCAGCGAACAAGTTTTCCACAACTCTCTACATAAATGGAGTCTGTGGGTCACTATGTACAAAGTGAGTGAATTTAGGGATAATTCTGAGCTGGAAAAATTATTTGGAAAAATCTGAGCTGGTCTAATTATTTGAAAAATGTCAACATCAGCAATGTTGATTTGCTAGGATCCCAGTAACTTGAAAAATCAACAGGTCATAGCATAATAAAATTATTTTCAGAGTGTACTATTAAAATATGTTTATAGGTCCCTTTATTACATAAACAGTTTTTATTCAGCAAATATATATTAGTAACCTGTAAGGTACTGTGCTAGGAAAGAGAATCCTGAGAATTCTGATATGATTAAAATCTAGACTGTGTTCACCTTGGAAGCCCTGGTGGCACAGTGCTTATGCGTTGGGTTGCTAACTGTGAGGTCAGCTGCTGTTCTGGAGAGAGATAAGGCTTTCTACTTCCCTAACGAGTCAGTCTTAGAAACCAACAGGGGCAGTTCTATCCTGTCCTGTAGGCTTGCCAGGAGTCTGACTTGACCTAGATGGCAGTGAGACTCATTCATAGGGTTGCTAGGAGTCGGCACCAACTTGATGGCAGTGAGGTTCAGTATTTACCTTTAGAATGAGTAGTTTCTTAAGTAACGTGGCAATCTTTATTAAGACCTTAATTACGAAAGCCCAAATAGTGCATTAGAAGGCTTTTTTTTTTAACAAGGCAGATTAATTCTACGAAATTAGTTTGTCCCACCATCATTCTAGATCTCTTTGAATCCACTGATGTTTTTTAGACAACGTAGTAGTTCTGAACACTGACTCTGGTTCTTATTGTTTTCATTAGTAGAACGAGAACATTGAACTAGATCGGATTTGTTTTTTAAGTTTTGTTTTTCTTTTAAGTAGGCAAACAGTTTCAGACAGATATTACTTGAAATCCGAATCTATATTTTAGATAAAGCTTAATCACTAAGATTGAATTCAGATAAGATCATGAAGTGGCTAGTGGTATACTTGGCAGTAACTTTTACTACTGTGAGGAAAATGTTTTAAAAGCCATTGAAGTTTAACTTCTAGTGTTTTGAACTGTGCTATAATCTATAGCAACAGATGAAAATTGAGGATTTAAAATGAAATTTTTGACTCTGATTTTGAGTGTCATAAATTTTAGTTTTAAGCTTTTTTAAGGAGAGAAAACTTATTGTATGACTTTTTGGGGGATGGCATGGCTTTCCTAAATAAAACAGTATTGTAGAAAAATATTGTTTAACAGTTGTTTTGTAGACTTTTTTACTTATGTGAGTCAATGTTACTTTTTATTGTCATATTTGTGTAACTTATAAACTAAAAGGAATCTCAAAGTTGACTTAAGGCTACTTCTGCTTAAAGTTTTGTAGGATGGAACTTTTGTTAAGAAAATGTTTTGTTACGTGTTTTTTTACCTTCTAGAAATTAAATAAAACTTTAAAATATTCACTAATCAGTAATTATTTCCAGGATGAAGAGTGTGTACGCCTTGATAAAGAGAGATTGGCTGCTCGTTTGGAGGGTCACAAAGAAGGAATTGTACAAACAGAACAGATTAGGTAAGGATTTATTTATTATAACGTAGGCAATGTAGGCGTGCATAAGCATACACAAAACCAAAATATGAGTATCCTATCCAAGTTTATAGCTAGCCCTAGCATTTCACTGGTTAAGGGCTTGGCTGCTAACTAAAAGGTCACAGGTGTGAACCCAATAGCTGCTGCTGGGTAGAAAGATGTGGCAGTAGGGCTTCTATAAAGATACAACTTTGAGCAGGCCTGTCTGGATAGGACAGGCTGGATGAACAGTCTGGAGGAGAAAACAACGGGACTGACAGTTCCGGGGGGACATGGGAGAGGGGGAGG